CTACGAGCAACCCCTTTCACACTGTCATGTTCTCTTCACATTGTTATTCGATACATAGTTATCAAATCACTAAACAATTTGGAGACGTGGACAGTGTCCCAGAGGACTGAAACCAGCCTACGGTTTTTTGTCTATAAATTAGAAATCTATAAACTTTGTTGAATGTGTTGATGTCTTTGGACAGCATTCACCAACAGTTGAAAGACACAGCTGCAAATATGTCTTCATTCATACTGATATTCTTGTTTACAACAAAGTTAAGACAGGATGTTTGAGAGCTCCAGGGTCTTGTGCACTCAGAGAGAATAGGACATATCATATGCCAGCAGCTACAAAGCTCGGGGCAGACCTAGGGCATACTGCATGAATTAAAGGAGCCTGGGCCTCTTTGTAAGGGACATGAAAAGGATCAATGCTGAGTGTGAATGGCAATCAGTTTGCCTTGGGCCAACAAAGTTCAATCTTGTTATGAAGAATTAGACACAGATTTTTCACAACAAGACACAACAAGTATTTCTTATAATCAGTTTTTCTTCATGACATTTGTTTTGGGCCTCACATTGGGAATGACTCCAATGTAAACTCATCAGAAGATTATAATACTCTGTATCAGGCAGCATTGGGTTAAAAAACTGGGTTAGCACGACCATTAGCAGCCAGAATAGCTCAATAAAGGCCAAACTACACCAAAGAAGTTACATCAAACAGAACAGACATTTGTTAAAAGCAGTGCAAAACACCACTGTAATATCAGCTATGTAATAGAGGGAGGAAAACAGAACCTAAAATATTGTAACTTTGGACAAAGTTATACTAAAGAGAAAAGCAAAATGGCAGCTGCAGTGGAACAGAAGAAGACTACAGGGAAACTATTAAAAAAAAATTCCATAGAAACATGTCATTTTCCCCTTGACCCTCTCTGTCACACACATCTATCACCACTGACAAAGATAAGGCATGGACAGATGAATGGATGGATGGATTAGTGAGTGGAGGGAGGGCAACACATGAATGGAGGGATGAAGTAGCAGGTAAGAGAATGCACACTAGCCAATATATACAGGTTTCCCATTTACAAATGGATAAAGATGCACATGCAGTGGAGAGGTAAAAAACTCATTGCTATTATGGAAACTTATATACGGATATTTTCACTATTTGGGAAAAGGGTAACTTGCTGAAAACCGGTAAAATACATGTGAACTGTCTGTGGGAACGGGCAGCATGTGTTAAGACTGAAGTAATATTAACATTTAAAAGCTAATCTTTGCATAAATGAAACGTCTACTGTTTACCATTTAAATATATCAGACACTAGATGTATGCCAGATGTGTTAGATTAGTACAAAACCACATATAAGATATCTGCAGTGTTTCCAAAAGCTTCACTCACATCAAAAAATACAGGTGTGTAAAGTATTATTTAGCAGCCACACATGATCATGAAAAGAGAGTCTGCACACATTAAATGTTTGACTGTTGCAATATTCATTAAACAGCTATTAACAGCCAGTAACAGTGTGAGCTGTCTTAGACCTTAAAATAAACATTTCAGTTTCTGTGCAAAACTATCCATCATCATGTTAAAATCCAGAACTGTGACTTGATCACTCGATGCTAATAGCTAATTACACACTCTGGGCTAGAAGGAAGGTGTCCTTTTTGTGATATTACAAATTTTCCATGGATTACTTTGCAATTTGTGCAGTTTATTGCACTTTTCATGTTAATATCCACATAAGATATCAGTCATTTTAGTTTGTTTTCTACCGTATGGTTTCACACAAGACATCAATTGGAGATGTGCCTATAGTGAAACAGTGAGACAGTGAGACAGACTTAACTCAACTGCCTCCTTGGCCATCCTAATGTTGTTTTCCCGCTGTCCAATATATCGTTAGTTCATATTCTTTTCCTTGTTTCTCCTAGAATTCACTGTTGATGACTGTTACCAAGGCAGAACATTTATAGTGATTTGCAAAATGTGTAAGCAGCGTGGGTGTCAAGGTGAAACATTACATCAATTCTTGTAAAGTTGACATATATAAGAGAAGATTCATTGTTGAACCTTGGCAGCATATGGTGATAAATGTATCAAACTGTGCATTTTTATATAAAATTATACATTATACACATTTTATCTATGTAAGGCAGGTTGTGGCTGCAACTGAGATTAACCTAACGTTATTATTGTCCCCGTAAAAACCCGACTTCATTTCATGTCAGTGAAACTAATTCTGAAAAACGTTGCTTTTATCTCAGTGTGCTGGAACTGGGCACGTAAAAAGGGCAACATATGAAGGTTTCCTTATAATAGCAACAACAACATACAGTATATCAGATCAAAGGCGATAAATACATGTACGTTCTCCCATTGGATCCCTCGTAATATAATATGATCCAGTTGGTAGCTCCCCACTAGGATAGGAGGTGCTGTATTATGGGTGTGTGTGTGTGTGTGTCTGTTAATAAGAGACCCTGAGACAATGACAGACACCAAGCCCTAATTAGGTTGTCATGCTGAGAGAGCGAGGGAAAGGCAGAAAGAGAGAGAGAGGGAGAGAGAGCTTATTAAGGAGGATAGGTGTCAAGCTCTGGCAGGAAAAGGAGGTGGGAGGAGAGCAGAGGCGGGGGAGGATGAGGGGGAGGGTGATGAAGGGAGGTAAAAGAGAATCAGGTGCAGACAGGGAGAAACAGGAGGAGTGGGTGACAGAGAAAGGGAGGTCGATGGAACTGGAGAAGCAAGAAGCCAGAGAAGAAAACCAGGAGATGGAGGAGAAAGAGAGGCAGCTGGTGAGATGAAGGGAGATCAGATTAGGTGTGGGAGAAAAAAAAAGGAAGTAGGAGGGAGAAGGTGATGTAGAAAAAGGTGCAAATGGAAAGAAAGGGGGGAGAGTGAAGCTGGTGAAGGTACCGACTGCAGAGGAGGAAGACAAACAGGATCAAGTAGAGAGGGGAGATGGTGATTTATGGCACAAAACAATAGGGGAGCTGTTCCTCTAGTGCAACCAGCTTGTAGAGTTTCAATAGCAGATGATGGAAGGAGTGAAACAAAGATGGAATCTCACTAAACTCAATATGTGGATCCTCTTTGGTTCAAGAATAATTCCTGTTTAAAAATTGTGTCTTTCTTAGTTTTGGCCATCATTCAGTTATGATGATATACTCACTACGTAATTGCTGAGATTTGAGAAAACTGAAACATTACTACAATTAAGTGCAGCAAACCAAGAGTTTAGCATGATTATCAAAACTGCTTTATGTGGATGTAAATCTTAAAGTGAGCACTTCCAAGTATTGTAAGTCAATGTTAAACCAGGAAGTCCTTCTGTAAACTGGGATGGATGTTTACAAAAGACAGTTTGGGTAATCATTTTCCTGTCTTGTTTTCTCTACCCAACATGTTGTGTAGAGAAATATCACAAGATGTCAGAAATATTAAAATGTTATTCTTACAAATGTAAGATCCAAGTTGAGTGTACAAGTTTATTCTTGACCTTGAAAACAGCCCCCAATGAAGGAAAATTAAGACATTTTCCAAACCAGGTCTGAATCTGATAATTGTGTCCATTCTGATTATATGTCATGGGCAAACACCAAGAACCCCACTGAAGTCTTTAAAATAAACTTAAATTCACATAAACTCAACATAAATCCTTTCAAAAGCTTAGTCTTACTGAAAATAAACACATAAAATAGCCGGATTAAAGAACAGCTGAATTTTCCTTTAAGGTTATTACGTTAAAACAAACAAAAAGGAAAAAAAAAACATAGTCCAGGGTTACTCGAGAGTAAGCAGGAAATGTGCTCTTCCCTATGGATATTGGCTGACTGTAGGCAAAATATTTACTTTTTACAGATTTACAAGAGGGCATATTTTAATTCAGTTCATTATGCACACACACACACACACACACGGAGGTGAACAAGACTGTGAGCCTTGTTCTAGGCTACAAAGCCAACTGAACACACAAGTTGGTACCCCACCACCACTGTAGTATCAAACTAATTCACACATACACACACACACACGTATGCGTATCCCTAAAGGGCCACATAAGACTCAGGCCAAATTCTGCTGTGGTGCCAACAGCCATATTGTAAATATTCAATTTACTAAACTGGCAGCATTCCATATAACTAGCAGGGCAAATATGCAGGTGCACACACACACACACACACACACACACACACACACCTGCAATATCTAGAAACATGAGCAGTGCTTTGATATTCTAAACAGACCTCAGCAAATGTAATGAAGTAATGATGGAACCGTTTTTGAAGATAAACTCCTCATGTGCTGCCGACTGACCAAAATAAATAGCAGCTTATATTCTTGCTGAATATCTCAAAATTTTGATGAAAAAAGAGCAATATTTTTTATAAGGAATTTGTTTGTGTTTTGAAATATTGATCACTGAGGGCATGGGGCATTATTTTCTCAAGACGGATACTGAGTAGTTTTGAATAAAACTTCACATTCTTTTTATTCAAATACCAAAAACTGTGCTGCTTTTTGCACCTGCCATGGAAATGGGCCACCTGGGTAGAGGAAGAACTCAGAAATCTATTCCAAGGTTTTTCCCATGTGATGAAATCAACAATACTGAAGCAACTCTAGGAGCACCTCTGCATGTCAGAGTCAGGCCAAAAATGTTTTGTCTGCATGCTGGTAAAATCCTTGCTGTGTTTATTTAGTCTCATGAAGCAAATGTGATGTGGCTGGAAGTAAAACTTCAAAATAAAGTCTGTGTTTCACTCAGTGTACTTTGACCTAGCTCCCATCTGGGGAGAGAAGCAGTATTTATGTGAAGTGTTATCAACGATGCACCCAGCTGCACCAGAAATAAGCCCGAACCGTGCTTCCTAGCAGAGTCTAGGTTACTGCCCAAACTCACATTTAGTCATTTTACTTCAGGGTTAACTCATGACAGCCTCAAGCAATTGGTCAAAATGAATTTAGAACAGCCCTATGTGAAGCTGTGTGCTCAGTTTACCTTAGTACACAGGTGTAAAATCCATTGTCTTCCACTTCAGCAGATCTGAACCAGATGGAGTCGTCTTCTTTACTCAGCCTGTGACCCGAGAAGATGATAGGCTCCTACAGGACACAATGCAAAGACAATATTAATGAAATAACTACTGAAATAATGATATTAGTGTTTGAAGTAAAGATATTCCCTCTCAAGCTGGTATAACACTGGGAATAGAATTACAATCATGTGGAGCAGAAAGGGATACCATTAAATGTAAAAGCACCCAATATGTGTTATGTGAAAGCTCTATCCATATGACTCAGGTTTCTATATACTAGAGATGCATATTACATGTATTGTCACATATAAATGTAATCCAGCCAAATCCTGTATTATTAGTCAGATAGAACTGCTGGGAAAGGGGGACAACATTTTATTATAGCACATGGGACCACAATATGATTTATCAGTCCCTCTAGTTTCTGTGTTTTGGCCATTACTCAAACACAAGCAAGCCCAAAGAAAGAAACCGTCAGATTCTTGGTGTGGATCCAAATTACAGAATATTTACAGTATGTACAACATAACGATATACGTTATAGTAGACTGCTTATGCAGAAATAAACATACTTAATAATCTTTTATACATATATGTATACCCATACTAATAATAGACCTGCTGCTTGTGGTCGATACCTATAAGATAATGGATAATTTCACATTTTTGTATTTTAAAAAGAAGTTCATAACCTTTATGCACACTTGAGGTTAACAAAGGTTAGGATGTAGTGAGCAAAGATGATTTAAAATTGTGTTAAAACTTGCAGACTTTTTCCCCTCCTCTTGAAGTCCTTTTGGAATATATATTGCAAGCAGCAATCCTGGTGTCCTCCTCAAAAACTAAAAACATGTACACATGTGAAAATTCTGCTAGCTTCCTCCCATAAAAAATGCAGAAGAGTGAATCATACAGGGGGCGTGGCCTGGTGGCTATGGAGTGTGTGACGCAGGCGGTCACACTGGCCAGAGTGACAGACGGCAGACCCTGTCACAGATTAACCAGTTAACCAGGTATGAGCAGCTGCTGTCAGACTTGCCTGAGCTTTGTGGAACCAGTGTTGTAATGTTTGCTAAACTAGCGGCTGCACTCTCTGGTGTTTGTGGGTCAGGCTACGGCTACGTGTTAGGACACAGTCTGCAGAGCTGGGAGGTGTTTTATAGGGGCGGACAGGGGGGTAGGGTCTGTTGGTGATGGAAGCTGCCACCATGTACAGCACCTGCCTCCAGATCAGCAAATAGAGATGTTCCTTTATTGATCCACCGTGGAAGAAATTCAAGAAAAATTGTGAAATTCAAACCAGTAGGGGGAGATCACTATGCATATGTATAGCACAATATGTAGAATTTTAATACTTTCCACTAAAATGTTTTGGGGGTTAAGTTACTCTTTAAGTCAATGAAAGCAATGTTGCCTTCGTATTAGCTACGCTTATTAGCCGATCATTTATCGACCCAATATATGATTCTGCATCCCTAATAGACAGTGTATATTATATGAATACATATAGATATTTTACAGTGTATATACACCGATCAGCCATAACATTATGACCACTGACAGGTGAAGTGAATAACACTGATTATCTGGTTATCATGGCTCCTGTCAGTGGGTGGTATTTATTAGGCAGCAAGTGAACATTTTGTCCAAGCAAGTTGACAAGCTGACTGACAAGCTGACAAGGGGCCAAATTGTGACGGCTAGACAACTGGGTCAGATCATCTCCAAAACTGCAACTCTTGTGGGGTGTTCCCGGTCTGCAGAGGTCAGTACCTATCAAAAGTGGTCCAAGGAAGGAAAAGCTGTGAACCGGCGACAGGGTAATGGGCGGCCACGGCTCATTGATGCACCTGGAAAGCGAAGGCTGGCCCGTGAGATCCAATCCAACAGACGAGCTACTGTAGCTCAAATTCCTGACAAAGTTAATGTTGGTCCTGATAGAAAGGTGTCACAACACACAGTGCATCCCAGTATGGCGCTGCATAACATTATGACCACCCGGGTCATATGAATGTTTTGGGTATTTTGAGTATTACATACGGTTTGTATTGACTTTAATGGAAGATTATCTGTCAGGAGAGATCATGTTTTTACTTACTTCCACCTGACATATGTTTTTTTCCCCATGAGTCTCCAGGAAGATTCTTCTAGTAAATACATTTCATGAATCCCTGCAAGGATCTCCAATGGGCGTTAGATGGCCATGCAGGTCTGTCATCACAGGGCTGTTCTGTGTCATTAAATATGGCTAAATATGTCATAAATTGAATTATAAACAATTGTTATTGATTTGTTAACTATAAAATGAAAAGTATAAGCACCACATAGGATAAATTACATTTGAATATGATTGTTTCAGTTTATCATTGTCAGTGCTGGACTTCCTGACACACCTCCCTCCCACCATTTCCTACCTCATCAGCAATTATTCCGAGTGATCTTACCTCTGCGTCTCCTTTGTTTTTGTACCAAATGAGGCGCAGCTTGGCGTTGGTGGCCATGGTGTAGTTGGTTCGAATGTAGCTGTAGAACAAGGCACATTTCACCCGAACAGGCTCACCGGCCAGAACATGGTACTCCTTCAGATCCACTGACCAGTCTATGCATCCATCCACTGTGAGGAGAGAAAAAGAGAGACGGAAAAAGAGTGAGAATGTGGTGATAGAAACACTGTTTATAGGCCATTATACAGACGCCAAATGCGTCCCGGCTTTTAACTGCAAGGGGGAGAAACATTGATGGGAACTGAGAATAGATCAGAACTCAAATAGGTTTGGAAGCAAAACATGAACAATCATCAAAAACACTGACTTTATGTAAGATATAAAACTATTCTTTATAGAGAAGGAATGCTTTACAGAGAGAAAGAGTGACAGAAAATGAGAAATGAAGAAAGAATGTGAGTGACAGGGAGATTGTTTTATATTGTTTCTTTGGTAATATTGTTCTTTACCTTCAAGGCAATAAAACGTTGAATATAAATTTGAAAGAGTGTGCGTCTATTGTGAGCGTGTTGGAGGGGGCAACGGCGCAAGGATTAAAAGAGATAAATGTTATACTTTCTATAAGTCAAAGGCATAAACAGAGGGGTTTGCATGAATAAAAACTGTAGGATTTGCAATTGAACATCTGATAAAATAATAAAAAAAGACGAAATGAATCTTTTATTTAATTTTTTACAACCAAATGTTTCCATAATTTATATACTGCATTTCCCTATATATTGCTCGAAACTGGAAGAGAGAGAGAAAAGCGATAATTGAAGAAAGAGTGAGAGAGACAATAGAGATTCAAAGAAGAGGAGGTCAAGACCAAATGAAAAGAGAAAAAAATAAGAGAGGAAGAGTGCGGCGGTGGTGTCGGGGTGAGATCAGGTCAACCGGAACGAACAGAAAACAAGTTGTAGATGGAAGACAAGTAGGAGCTGGTGAGACGTAGAGGTCAGGACGGAAAATGACAAGGAGCTTTCCCAAATGGACTTTCCTCCTCTCCCCCACCAATCCTCTCCCTCTCCCTCTCCGCTCCTTCTCTTTTTTCTTTTCTCTGTTCTTTGCTCCTCTGACTTCTTTTTTTCCCTCATGGTCTGAGGATAGATGTGCTCTGTTTTAACTGAAGCCCTCGGGCGCTTGCCACAAGGCCTTCCTTCTGAATTAAAGCCTCAACCCTGCAGCGATAAAGCCTCTGGATCTGTCATCTGCCCAAAAATACTTCCATAGCCTCACTTCCTTATTGTTTTCCTCATGTTTGTTTATTATGTTATACTGGCAATAAGCAGTGGGTATATTAGAGCTCCAAACAAATACATGTACGAACAGATAATGCGCTCTAAACGAAATCGAACATTGTCTTTTTTCCCTGGCACCTGAGTGGCCATCTCAACAAACATCCACACACATCACACACACACTACTAACTCACACTGGTGTCAGGATCTTGGACGTACATGGAGGATAAACGTCCATAAAACCATTTAGAAACAGTATGAAAAAGGTGCTCCTTATAGCCACTGCGTCTCTCACGAATTGTGAGTTGAAGTTAGGGACCGTCTCAAAAGTGCAAGCAAAATGGCCAAGTTGCCTCCTCCAACACACTCACACTAGACGCACACTCTTTCAAATTTATATTCAATGTTTTATTGCCTTGAAGGTAAAGAACAATATTGCCAAAGAAACAATATAAAACAATCTCCCTGTCACTCATATTCTTTCTTTATAGATCTTATAGATTTTATAGAATTTTTTATACGACCAGTGAGCTATAATGGGCCATTATAGCTAACCATTATTAATGGCCCATTTTTGTACAGCATTCCCTCTCTTTATTTTAGATCACATTATATTCATCTGAGTCTTCCCCTCATTATAAACAGCAATCATGTATGATGATTGATCTTGTATTTTCCAACAAAAACATTCTTTTCTATTATGATTATAAATGTCTTCAGTTTGGACTGTCTTTCTTTCTTTCTTTGTTTCTTTCTTTCTTTCTTTCCAATAGGATTAAATAGGATTAAATCATGTTTTATTATTTGATGAATATTATGTTATAGCATACGTATCGTGTTTTTATATTTCGTTGGCACCTAATACATATACATAGAAGGAGTATAACAATTTAAACGGCAGTAGAGAGCAATTTAACTCTAGTTAAATAGAAGGGGTGTGGACAATAACTACATCCGGTATAAGCCCCGCCCACTTGTTTGTTTACACCTGAATACAGATATTTTTCGCATAAACAGATACATTTAGTAGCTTTGTGTCACACCCCTATATACCCTGATGTGGCTACATGAAAATAGCATTAGTTTACGCCCCCCATGCTAAAATGTCACTCAGAAGTCAGACATTCCTCGCCGGATGTGGATTGTTATCATGGCTCCCACTGTAAGTCAATATAAACATGTTTCAGCACTCTGTAAAATGTGTCAAGTGTAATTTGTGTTGAGTCAAGTCTCTAGCAACGATTTAAAGACTTGATTTGCATGAGTTTGCAGCGCAAATTTACAACCACGCACTTAATTGGTTACATTTATAGATTTAGCAATATGTATTAAGTCATACAGAGGCAGGAGAGATTTACTGTAGTATCGCTGTACGCACGCACACACACACACACACACACACACACACACACACACACCTAAGCAGATTTATTGCACACACAATCACTCTCTCACCCCCTCAAATGATTTAGTACTCATCACATCACTCACTATGTCTCTATCGCTCTCTCTCACACACACACACACACACACACACACACACACACACACCACACACAGAGTGTTCATCAGCAGTCATTTAATCATTGACAAGGTTGCCAGATATTCAGAAGACTACAGTCATAAAAACTCTGCGTGCGTTTCAGCATTATGTGAATGTGAGAGTGTTTTTAAGTTTGCATGTGTATGAGAGAGACTTAACAGGTTTGAATGGTAATGGAAAAATGCGTGTGTGTGTGTGTGTGTGTTTGTGTGTTGTGTGTGTCTGTAGGTGTGTGTTGAAAATTAAGTAGGCCTAATGAATAGACCAGCCTGACTTGGTGGTTGTAAATTAATGAGCTGACACAAATTGAAGGTGTGAGTGCAGTATATTCAACACCTAACACAGAGGATCTCACACACACACACACACACACACACACACACACACACACACACACACACACACACACACACACACACACACACACACACACACTTAAACAAATACACACACACGGATGCACCCAGGGCATTACATTAATAGAAAATCACATTAGTTTGGTCTACTGGACTAATGCCTTTTGTTTTAGACAATGTTTAACACAGGTCAGACACATGCCCACACACACACACACACACACACACACACACACACACACACACACACACACACACACACACACACCTCGTTCATATAAACACACACAATCACATGAGAATGACAGAGCCATATGTTGCTGCAGGTTATAACCAAAGCAAACTCCCAATAATTCATTCATCGCTGCTGCTACACGTGCTTGTGCATGTGTATTAATGTAGGTGCATGAGTGGGTGTATGTATATAAGCCTGCAGTATGAGTGTGTATGGGCGAGTGCAGCTGTGTGACTGTAGACATATTAAATGTGTGGGCGAGGTGTTAGCATGGGCAGATATATCATTCCCGTCAGCTCTATCTGCATATGGATGCTCCAAAAGAGCCGGATGGAAATAACCCTGGATAAATGGCAAAGTTTCAGAGTTTGGAAAAGTGCAGAGAGTTTTTGGGCAAAACACACGCACGTTCAAATGCACACACATACACATACAGTGACAAACCTAAATATTGAGTTAGATGACTTTTTTCTTTTGGCTGAAACAATTTTCCTCAAGGTTTCCCCAGAAATGAATCTTAAGTGAGGATGTAGCCTACTAGCAAAAACACAGAGAATAAAAATAATTGATCTTCTCTGTGTATTTGATCTTGTATGTAGCAAAGTATGCTTTGAGGAGAATTAAATGGCTAGATGTGTATGCCAAAAACAAATGTAATACATTTTATTTAGTGATTCTTGGGTGTTTTTTAAAGCAAACAAAACTGGCTAAAAAAAAAGCTAAATAGAATTAATCTTATTCTGCTCTTTTTTAGCCTGTTGATACTATATTGGAAATTCAATTATGTGGTGGAATGTTTCACTTAAAATCTTTGAGGCAGAAAGAGAATTTTTTTTTTTTTTCTAGTGGTTCTACTTTTTATGTAAGCTCCTGGAAGGATAACTGAAGACTTATTTGAATATCATACTTTGTTGATGATACTGTCAGATCGTGAAATGAAGGGTGAAGGGGTGCAGGAGCTACAGCAAATATCCAATGGAGACACAAGGCTTATAGCAGAGGGGCAAGTGACCACATAGTCGCATAGTAAAAGTGATACCCATTCAGTGGTGGTATGCTCCCCAGGAGAACATCTTTAAAAAGAATTACAAAAATAGTGCATTCTCGTTGCTTTCCTAATCTGTCAAAAAAAAAGGAGAAATCACTTACACTCAGGTGTAAATAGGACACACAGTTTTTACACTGACTGAAACAGTGAGCTGATGAGCTGCATCTGCTGTCATAGAGAACTCTAGCCAGTCCCTCTGCAGCTACCAGGTAGCAAGAAAACATATCTCGTCACTCCCAGGAAGGGTCATGGGGTGCATGTGGACACTGACCTCTTTAGACCTGTCTTCTTCTAAACCATTCATGCTGGTGTCAGGCTCAACAGCACCATCAGCCCTGCAGGATGTGGCATTAAGATGAGGGCAAGTAGTAGCCGATGACACTAACAGCGACTCTAACGACTCAAATAAAGTGACATCAACATCAACGTTTGGCTGTAAAGTTATTGCTGTTGGGCAGTCAAACACTCTCTGAAAAATCCATGGCTGCAAATGGAATGAAAATATAGAGCTACCTCAGTTTTAGTTTTCAAAACTTGAATTCCTGCTCAACTCGCTAAAACATTACATAAGCCTGCAGCTACAGTAAATCTTATATCTCTTGATTTCAACTAAAAAGGTGTTTTCAAGCCCTGATGAATGACTAAAGAGACAAATTCTGAAATATGTTACACAATGTGAATCGCAAGTAGTGAATAGTTACAGCTGTT